GTCTGTGATCATCTGTTAAAGCAACCGACTCTGGTTGTGAAACAATAATCACAATAACTGATGATTTAATTTATTTTTTACCCAAAAACAAAGAAAAAAATCATTTTTATGAGGTTTTTATCAGATTTAAATTTGAAATGGAATAAAAAATGTGTCAAAATGTTTGAATTAAGTTTTAATAAAAAGTGGGGGAAAATCCACTTCATATTAATTAAGTATCAATCAAAGCAGATGGGGACATTTTTGACCCCTGAGGACCACAGGTGTGTGAAAATCGGGAGGACATTATGAGGGTTAATAAATGTGTCCAAAGTGGGATGGAGCAGCTCTCATAATCCTATCAATTCTGGCTCTCCCGTTGCAGAGTTGTGAGCTTCTCCATGATTTTATCCAGACTGTGTTCAGTTAACAGAGTGAGTGCTCGTGGGATTTTGAGCAGCTGTAACAGGTTTTCATTATTCGTCGATATGCCAGGGCCGAGCAGCTCCAATCAGCAGGAAGCCCGTTATCACAGCCCCGAACAGGTCGATGTCTTCAATGTCCTCCTCTGAGAGTGTTGGCAGGCACACGATGCGCCGGTGTCGTGCCAATCCGGCAGCGCACGTTCCTGCAGAAGGATCGGGCTCCCAGCGCCCAGGTTTCTCATCGAGAGGGTGTCAGTAGTGTTTAGAGACCAGTTGATCAAATCCATAATTCCTTGTTATTCTTAGAGAACACGCGGAGAGCGTCTCCGAGATGAGACGAAGATAAGGGAGAGGAGACCGGAGAAGATGCGACCGCCTCCGCCGAGAGCCAGGAGAGAAGATTAGAAAAACAAAATTAAGTTAATTCTCACCGTCGTGTGCATGAAACCGAGACGGAAGTACGCCGTGAGATTTATAGTCTGATGCAGCAAGACGCACAGAGAAACGAGCGCCAGCGTGTTTATGTTACTGCGAGGAAGCAAACACGTTCACGGAGAGCATCTCTGCGAGTGCTCGTGTCCGTAGATTACTGTTGAAGCTGTTCGTCATCAAACATGTTTCACCGACCCTCAATCGTTTCTGTTCTCACATTTCAGTGGAGTCGGCGGACGTTTCGGCGCTCGGCAGCAGGCTGAGTGAGGCTGAACGCCGCTTGGATGAGCTGCACACACAAACCTCAGGTGAGTCGGTCCACAGGTGTGAGTTACCTGCAGCAGCTGCAGCTGACCTCAGAGCTCACCTTTCCAGATGTTCACCAACCTGTTTGTTTCATCGGTGTTGGCTGGATCCAGATGTTGTGTCCAATGATCAGATCTGTCTGCTGTAACACGATAAACTGCATCCGTGTCGACTGGAGAGCGTGTCCCTCAGACAGCTGCTGAAGACGTGTGAAGGACGCGCTCCAGTCCTGTGTTCATAAACGAGCTCTGATCCAGTAAAGGTGAAGAGTTTCTGCATAACTGGGATCGTCTCCTCTCCTCTCAGCTGTCACAGCCTCGTGGGAAGAAAACCTGTCGGCTGTGAAGAGTCAGGTGCAGCAGCTGGAGCTGACCGGCACAGGCAAGTCAGGTGATCTGAGGGTGCAACATGTGACAGCATGCAGCTGCTCTCAGTTTACCTGTGATGTGTTTCCTGTGCTGTTTCCAGCTCAGACCGACTCAGTGAAGCAGCTGCAGCTTAAACTAAACGCTTACCTGTGATGTGTTTCCTGTGCTGTTTCCAGCTCAGACCGACTCAGTGAAGCAGCTGCAGCTTAAACTAAACTCCACAGAGCATCAGATCCACGAGCTGCAGACTGAAACATCAGGTAAGTGAATGAAATCTCCGGTGAAAGGAAGCGTATGTGTGTGAGGGCCCTTTGTTTGTCTACTGTTCACGTTTCAGATCAACGCTCCAAACTGACGAAGCTGCAGACAAACGTGAGCGCGAGCCTTCAGGGCGACCTGAACACAGGTACAGCTGTCAGAGAGCACGCAGTGAGAATCGCTCTGAGCACGCTCACAGCTGCTGTTTCTGTTTAGAGATGTTCACCAGGCTGAGAGACAAACAGCTGGAACAGCTGCTGTCTGAGCACACAGGTAACACACTCTGACTTTGACTTCATCCTGAACCGAGCTGGTTCTCAGAGGAACTCTTCATGGCTCCGTCACACTACAGTAAAAAAGGCGGAACTCTTTTGTGTCTGGGAACATTTGGTGCTGCCCACGTCGCATTCACTAAGTGGCTGTAAACTCGTCAGCCTGAGGACGAGTGCTCCGCCTCGGTGCGAGCACTTTGCCTCACAAGGTGACTGCACAGGGCGGAGCCAGCAACCGTGATTTGACTGACACAGTCATCATCACACTGGTGAAGGTTATTTCCAGTTCATCTCAGTCTGCTGAATATTGCAACTCTTAGCGCTTCTTGATGCACCAAGATGGCAGCTGACTGCGAGCGGTCGCATATTTGAAGCATTTCAAAGGAAACGAGATCCCAAGTTCATCTCACATGGCCGCAGTACGGCAAACACCGTTTCCTGCCTGGTCTGGTGATATCGTCTTATTCATATTCATCCAACATCTGACTTTGTGTACTGACGAAAACTGTAGTTTATCCTCACATTTAGATTTAGCTGTTCGAACTTCACTGTAGGATTTGTGTTTGCATAGATAAAGCGTGTGTGCGTCAGCATGATCTGGTGAAAGCTGCGTGGCCTGACCATGTTTCACTCTGTTACCTGCTGGGGTGCAGAAGGACGAAGCGTCCTCCTGGAACAGTAAAGTCTGCCCAGAAACAGCCCGGCTGGGCGCTGTAACTGAAAAGATACAGAGAGTTTGTGCGATGCTATTAAAGGGACGCTGCAACGCTCAGAAGAGGGTACTTCAGACACACACTCAGACACACACACTGGTTCAACACAAACTCAGCAACGTAGCTGTGCGGAGCTCAGACCTACACTGGCGCCACCAAACAGCCACAACATAGAAGAGCCACCTCCACGGGACAAGACATGGCAGTCCATCTGCATCTAAAGGTCAAAGGTCACTCTTTTGAGGATGCCAATGTTCACATGTTGGACAGAGAAGACAGACGGTTTGAAAGAGGAGTGAAAGAAGCATCTGTGTTCACTGTGAACAACAGTCTTTGAACGCAGGGCGGGGCTTACGACACCATCTGTCTGCCATCTATAATCCAGTCTGAGATCCTTCCCAGACGCCTTAACGCCCACTCACATCCTCACCTCAGGAAATCACATGATAGGGTGGGGCCAGGTCTCATCCTGGCTGATTGGGACCCACACCTGTTTTCACACCTTGGTTTGTGTGATTAGGTAGAGGATCAATAGTTGGTCCACGACCCTCTCGGGGACTCTCCACCATTTGACCCTAGGACTGAAGAAGCTTTTTGGATGAAACGTCTTCAATCAACTTGAAGTCCAGACGCTTCTGTTTCAGAGCTGCTTCGATCACACTGATCAACAACGATTTTGAACAAGTTGCTATTTGGATGAGTTTAGTTTAATGGGATACTTTAGTCATGTGTGCCCACCTTTGATTGTAAACTTTCATACAGCCAGAGCAGAGAGAAACATTCAGTCATGTAAGGATCTAACAAGGTTCCCTGAAGAACCATCAACCGTGTTTACTTTACTTTGCAGAGATTATGAACCAACTGAGAGATGGTGAGAAACGGCTGGAACAGCTGAAGGCTGAGCACACAGGTAACACACGAAGCTTTCAGACTGGCATGTTGTACAAATGCTCATGCGATACATGAACATTACATCCACACAAACAGAGTGAAGTGTTGCAACTTTATGTAGCAAACACTGAACTTTGAAGCTGAAACTGAAGAAAATTTTAATGCTTCCCTGGAAGCTTCAACAGTTTCAGTAATGATTTATTTTGAAAATCCTCTGATTTACCGTCGGTGTAAACAGTGAGTTTGGACGCTGACAGAATGATGAGATAAAACAAACGGCTCCTCCTCCCAGTGCTTTGATTGGTCGACAATGACAAAAATGATTGTGTGGTGTTGACGATTCAGACTGAGATGAAAACTGAGCATGTTGATCACTCTGTGGACACGTACGTGCTGGTGATTGTTGCAGCATCTGTCTCCGTTTCAGTTTAACAACATTCAGGCCAGACACACTCGGGATCATCTTCCAGGACAGAGATTGGAGTGTCGTCTGCGTCTAAACAGAGACTAACCTGTCATTCACACTCGATGTGTCGCTGTCAGACCTGTGATGTGTTTCCTGTGCTGTTTCCAGCTCAGACCGACTCAGTGAAGCAGCTGCAGCTTAAACTAAACTCCACAGAGCATCAGATCCACGAGCTGCAGACTGAAACATCAGGTAAGTGAATGAAATCTCCGGTGAAAGGAAGCGTATGTGTGTGAGGGCCCTTTGTTTGTCTACTGTTCACGTTTCAGATCAACGCTCCAAACTGACGAAGCTGCAGACAAACGTGAGCGCGAGCCTTCAGGGCGACCTGAACACAGGTACAGCTGTCAGAGAGCACGCAGTGAGAATCGCTCTGAGCACGCTCACAGCTGCTGTTTCTGTTTAGAGATGTTCACCAGGCTGAGACGTGGAGACAAACAGCTGGAGCAGCTGCTGTCTGAGCACACAGGTAACACATGAAGGTTAACGTCACACCTTTGTACCAACTGTAGACATTTTAAAGCAAAGTGGAAACTGAGAACCTGTTTAGAAATTCTGTGTGAACGATGACAAAGTGGTTTGTTGTGCAGCCGTGGATGTCAGATTGAGATCCTCTGAGACACAGCTGGAACAGCTGGACACTCGTGCTGCAGGTACCGTCATCAGCTCCTACCTGAGGTTTCAAGAGTCGCTCATTAAAGCTCTCAGTCAGACATGAAGTGACACTGAGGTGACGCGTAGCACCCTACACACCACTGTTTATTGTTGCTGTTGCTCAGCTTGCAGAGCAGATGTTTACAGCTGAAGACGCAGATGAAGGTCGGGGTCTCGTTTGTTCTGCAGGTCATTAAAATAAAAACTGTTTTCAGGCCGTGACATCGAGCTGTTGGCCACGAAGCTCAGACTGAACGTCACCGAGCGGCAGGTGGACGAGCTGACGACACAAAACACAGGTGACCTCTGTTACGTTGCCGGACTGTCGGGAGGTCTGATGGCGTTTATCCGAGTTCACAGTGTCACGCTCTGTTTTCAGTGCGAGCCGCTGAGCTGGAGTCTGTTTCGGACCGACTGACGGCGGCACAGAGACGCGCTGATGGTAACGAACGACCTCGAAGCTTTCTGCGTCCGATTAACTTGAATCACATCTGAATGTTTTCTCTCAGAGCTGCAGGTCAGGCTGAACCAGCTGAGCGCCTCGTCCGAGGAAGCAGGTCAGCCACGCCTGCGGCACTTTAAATGTCCTCACCAGCCAGCTGTGGGTTAAACATCACATCTGTCTCTTCTAGGTGAGCTCAGGGTGGCGTTTTCAGCCGGTCTGACCGATTCGGGGTCAGTGGGACCGTTTGATGAAGAAACAACTCTGATCTTCTCCAAAATCATCACCAACGTCGGCGAAGCCTACAACCAGACAGCAGGTAGAGCGTGCCGCCCACATGACGCTGAAATATTCAGCTCCACGTAACATATGTTTGACTGCAGAATTATATTAATATTGTCAAAGGTGGAGGGGGTGGAGCTCCTCCCTGAGGTGCTTGTCTGATTAACACCTGTGCTGGTCCTCAGGTGTTTTCACGGCTCCTGTCAGCGGACTGTACGTCTTCAGCTTCACGGCTGCAGATTACCTGAAAGGCTACATGGGCCTGTACCTGTACAAGAACGACAAGCCGATCGTCTTCAGCCTCGACCTGAACGACCACGGCGGCTACGCCTCCACGAGCAATGCCGTGTGTCTGCAGCTAGAGGAGGGCGACCGGGTGCACCTCGGCCTGCCGGCCAGCTACCGCCTCTATGACGACTCGCGAAACTTCAGCGTGTTCTCCGGCTTCCTGCTGTTCCACCTGTGATGGCGACGTCCTGGGATGCACCCAGATTATCCAACCTTTGTACGGCAGAGCAAACAGGAAGTGGGATGAAAGAGGCCACGCCCTTAATAACGCAAACTTTACTCTTTACTCTTTAATATAACGTAAAGCGGAGGAAATGATCCTGTAAACAGGTTTAACGAGTCTCACTGCTGCTGTTTCTGCTCCAGTGATCATTTCATGGAAAAGTCTCAGGAGGAGCGTGACTTTAGCCCCGCCCCTGTGAATGTAGCAGTCAGTGAAATAGCGTTCTCGTCTATCGATCAATAAAGTTTTAACAGACCTGCTGATTCTTGTTTGTTCTGCAGTAAAGTCGGAGATCACAGCGAGTCTGAAACTTTTATTAAACGTGACAAAAAAACATGAAAACGTTTCAAACTACAAATTTATCCCCACAAACACCCGAAGACATCAAAATGCACGACCGCGGTAAAAGCAGGGCCGGTCGGCGTGAGGCGAGGGGGCGGAGTCAGTAGTGTAACAGCTCATCATCACAATAAATACAAAGTCGTAGCATCAGATCACAAAGTGTGGTATTGCTCAGTCTAACGGCGATCAATAATCCGATCGCTCCTTCAGACTGACGGCCGCTGGGAAGTTTGAGGAAAGAGAAATGTCTTTGATAAAGACGAAGAAGATCATTGCATCAGTTTAAAAACAAAATGGCTTCAGATCCTTCCGGAGGGGGGCGGGGTTAGAGGGACGGGGCTCAGGTGCTGCTGTTGATCCTCCTGTGAACCGCCTGCAGGAGTAGCAGCGAGTACTCCTCCAGAAGCGCCGCCGTCTTCACCTCCCCCACACCTCCCAGCCCCCCCTCCGCTGCCAGCATGCCGAGCGGCAGGGCGTCGAGCTCCGCCTTCATCGCCTGGAAGGCCTCTGATAGGACGCGGGACATCTGGTGCTGGTCGAGGGCGGACTCATCTGAGGAGGAGCCACTCACCTGGAAGAAGAGGAGGAGAGGTGAATACTGCTGTGACCATCAAACATAGATGGTAAGGTGGGCGGAGTCTGTTACTCACTCTCCTGTACAGGTGCGTTGCTTTCTTAAAGCAGCTCTGCAGCTCATTGGTCAGAGCCCTGCAGCTCTCCACACTGATTGGCTCGTCTGCATAAAGAGAAAGCAGCAGGTGAGGTCACTCGAGCGTCGTTTTATTTATTTAAAAACAGACTGTAAACAATGATGCGATGAAAGCAGAGACGACAGAAACGTCTCACCCGTCACACAGGAGAGGAAGGGTGAGGAGGAGGAGGAGCCAAAGAGATGACAGGATGAAGGGATGAAGAGGAGGAGGGTTAGAGTCCAAACCTGCGTCGTCCATCTGCCCGGCGCCGCCGTCTGTAGGAGGCCCCGCTTCTTGTCGTGCGGGAGTCAGGGGGGAGATGGATACCGGAGGAGGCTGCGAGGAGGATGAGGACGCCGTTGAGAAAGGGGGGAGGGAGGGTTTGTCAGGAAGCGGCCTGCTGCTACTGGAGACGCGAGCCTGGAGACAGCGGGTGGGTGGGGGCATCTGGTTACCATGGTTCCCCAGAAACGAGGAGCAAGACGAAGAGACGACAACTGGGACCACAGCTGCGTGAGGGGGCGTGGCCAGAGTAACAGAGGGAACCACGGCGACAACAGGAGGTGGAGTCTCTTTGATTTGAGATGGAGTCGGTGATGTCACTGCCAGGTCGTCAGTGGGTTCGGGGACGTTAAGGCCATCGCCCATGGAGATAGAGCGGGACATCTTAGCCATGGAGCTGGCGGTGGGGCTCATGTAGGAGCGCGGCCCCGATGCAGTCAGGGAGGATGACGAAGACTTCCTCGGAGTGGTGGCGGCCAGAGCGGCAGCAGTTTCCTGTGATGGGGACCTTGGGGAGGCAGGGCTTGGTCTCTGAAGGGGAGGTGCCGTAGATGGGGGGCGTCCGGGGGTGCTGGGAAGGGTGACGGGACGCTCAGGGAGAAGGAGCAGCTGAGGGGGCACCTCCTCTCTGAAGGGACGAGAGATCATCTGGGAGATGGCGGAGTCACCTGATGATGAGAGAGACAGGAAGTGATGTAATTAGGTCCAACAAAACATGTAAACTCAGAGTAACACTGAGACCGTTTCCCCCCGTGGCCCTCCGTGTTTTTAATCTCCAGTGTGTGAACTGACTCTAACGAATAGTCGAGACCTTCTCTGATTGGTTCAACAGTCTGCGGAGTAGCTAACGAGTTGGAGTGACAACACAGAAACTCTGACATCACACAGCAAGCTAACGTTAGCTAACACTAGCCATAAGCCAGCCCGTTTAGAGTAAAAGATCCTGCAGACTGAAATGTTGCTGATATACAAATATTTCAAAACTTGAGTCGGAGGAAATAGTGTGAAACAAGCTGTGAGCCATCTTTGCAGTAACATCTTATCCTGAGAGCTGGAACTGGACACTTTCAAATTCATCAGGTAACGTCATGAACTGCCACCAAATTTATGCAGTGTGTTAAATTCTTGCCAGCTAACGTGAGCTGCTTGTTAACGCATAAAGCAGGGGTGTCAAATTCAATCGCACAGGGGGCCAAAACTCAAGGCCCACTTCAGGTCGCGGGCCAAAGAAGATAAACATTTATTGAACACTAAAACAATGTTTTTTAAACATAAATGTGAATAAAAACAGACAGGAATATTATTACAGATTAAATAAATTTAAAAAAATAAACTTTAACTTTAAATATTTTGCTCTTCATAAAAATATATCCTGTCAAAATTATGCAAGTTAGAAATATGAACATGCTGCCAAAACCCTAGAAAAAATAAATGAGAGCAAACACAAGGTTGGAGCCGCATGCAGACGGAGCTGGGCATGGTGCTGCAGGAGTGGAGCTAATAAACTGTGCGGGACATTCAGTGTCGTACTTTCCTTGAGTGCATCATTACACTGCAGCTGCATCTGAATCTGCACAGGTGCAGCTCAGCAAAGTGCGCTGAATTGGTTCAACATTACTGCAACAGGGAAAGTGAGGCAGGTTGCACTGGTGCATTTGTGACAGCTTCACTTTGTTATTTTGCTCTGGTGACAAATGTCTGCTGAAATGTCAGATTCTTCTTTAGCTCTTCTACTTCCTGTAGTTTCTGCGTTTAGGTTTTTCAGCTTATCCTGACGTCAAAGGAGCTTGGAAAGAAAAGTGTCTGGACTTCTTTGATTTGCTTGAAGACGTTTCACCTCTCATCCGAGAAGCTTCTTCAGTTCTAAGGTTCACAAGCGCATGGCACAACACAGAAGACCCACCTCCACAGGACAAGACTCAGCAGTCCATCTGCATCT